TCGTAAAAGCGCACCTGTGCGTGCATCAAATAAACCGATAAATAAATAATAAATCTTCCCAAGCTTCCTGCCTTTTTTCCAAAGTTTTTCCGAACACTCCAGTTTCCCCCAAAAAACTGCCGAAAAACTGCTGTCAAAAAAGAATTACGAGCTGCATCCCTTCAGCGACCGAATACGACCCCTCCCTTCCGCTGGGAATGCCCAACGTGCGAGGCGCCCTGACTGTACTCCCTCAGCTTATGCTCCGTCAAACCAAACTTCTGGTGCTTTTTGTTGCTTTTATCGCATTTTGCTTCTACTCGTGAAAAAAAAACGGGAAGACGGGCAAGAGAATCGTAAATTGCCGCTTCGTCGCGCGCGGCAGTGGACGCGACGTTCAATTAATTTGCACTACCCTTTCGATTGGAGCATTGAATTTCATGTAACAAGGACATGGTAGATTATTGTGTCTATTTTTGATCATACATTTTCTTTACTCGACCAATACCACCTGAAAATCGTCGTCATTAGACGGCGCGACGTCGCACGCGACGCCCACAGGCGCGGCGAATTCCGATTCTCTTGCCGCATACCTGTGGAGCGAATTCCGACTTCTGCTTGTGCATACCTGTGAAGGAACTGATGGCCCTTCTAAGTAGGCTGCATTGCCAAATAGTCTCCTTGCTGTTTGGAACCTATTTCTAGAAGATTGGTCGCAATCACTCTGACAATGAGTAGCTAAGGAAACGAACACTGTTCTGTCACGGGCCCATTTTTGTGAAATTTCGTAGAATCCCGTTTAACTGTGTGAATTTATTCGATTGTTTAACTTCCGAAGCCGGCTCTCTGAACACAGCGGCGCATGGCCAAGCAGGAAGCGCTCTTTGGCCTATGCTTGGGCGAAAATCATCATCCTTCTGACTGTAGGATTCTTCCCATTCTTCAACCAAAGCAATAACCTACAAGTAGAACTAACATTTTCATACCTCCACAAGAGTCTATAGGTTTTCACAAAGTGGCCCGGCGACAGGACTTTTACTGAATGCCCCTACTCTGAGCTGAACGTAAGCGAACTCCGAAAGAAGTACTATAAGTTCAAATTCCAGTTCATCACCCTTTCCTTTACAATTCCGTAAACTAGTACCTGTATGAAAGCATACTTCGTCGTGATTCCTGAGACAAACGATCAAGAAATGATTTTTCGTGGCCATGCTTTGTGACGGCCACGTCACAATTCGCTGCTCTCTGATAAGACAACTTTGGGCGAATGTGACACTCTGGGCAGCACCAGGAACCCTGCCTCCGCCTCAGCTTCTTCATTTACTTTGCTTTCAATTGATCGTTCAAGTTTTTCTCTTTAAAAGATTTCATATATCTTACAGCTACTCTTATCTATTAGGCAGCTTACCGGTTTGGAGAAACTAGTTATTGTCACTGATACTGCACCGTCTATGATGCTCTGGAGATCTGCTCAAGAAAGTAGCATTGTCATAAACGAGTAACCTCCAATAAAAACTTCAGTAAAAGTGATATGGTATCGATAGATTCTATTGTTCTATCAAGGTACTAAACAGCAGCCAATATTTATCGCAACGTTGGTGACAGTGCTACGGCTCTTATCTGAATGGGACCGACACCTGCAACGAATCTGTCCTTCATTCAAGTCTTCCTGCTCTTGGTCTCAACGTTACTGCTGAGGTTACTAGTCTTCTAGGACAGTCACGTCAAGCTTGACGGTGACAGTAAACTCGTACTACTACTATTACAGAATTAGTTGGATAAGTGCAGTACCAGTTTCCTTTGTGGTTTCTTTGAATGCTTCTTATGTTCTGAAGACGATGTAGAGAAGGTGCAGGGGTTGTGCCCATGCCGAAATGGGCACATTCCGGACCCCTTCACCCTTTATGCCAGAGCCTATATTCTTCAGGAACATGCCTTCTGTGAAAATTAGGGCCAAATGTAGCCCTTTTCCCCTCACCTGTTGACCACCTTTCAAATGATTTTACTGGAGCCTTGTAGACCTAAAACAAGTCGCGTATGCCGTTTCGCCATTTCTCTGATAAGGCGGTAATCAGTTCTCCCCGAATTGTAATGCTCTGCCGTTCCCTCTCAAGTTTCATTGAATTTCACTCTCTTTTCAATTTTCACTTACATTACTTCATGAACGTTAAGGCCTCTGTTTGTTAATGAAGGGATAACTCACTGAAAAAAATCAGTCTATATTTTTTAGTGGTCACACCAAGTCGATCGGGTAAAATGACGCAGGACAGTGACGGTAAGCTCTAATCGATATCGAACTTTTCATATAAAAGAAATGTTTACTTTAAAAGTGCACAATGGTATGGAATGGTATTATTATCAAGGCTCGCGCATAAGGTCTAAGGGATAAAAAAGTGATGAAAGCTATCACTCTATCGACTTTCCATCGTTTCTCAATGGCGGTTCCTTAGCCCTTTAGGGCATGAATTACACCTCCATCAGAACCTATTTGGGATCAAGGTGGACCGCCGGAAAAGAGGTTAGGGGGGGGCGTGACAGGGTAGATGAGTCAAGCGCAGCGCTATTGCTCATCACGTTTCCTGCCACGATAAGGTACTAGAGTCAATCTCGAGGAGAGGATTCTGTATAAATAAGCTCACCAAAAGCCTTCCTATTTCTAAAATACAGTAGGAGTGTTGGGCCCAAGGGCGTTCACTACCCCCCCCCCCCCCCACCAGAGCTGTGCGAAATCTGGGGCAACTACAATCCACCACAAATTTTCTCCTTTTTCACAGCCCCTTTATAAGACATTTTCCCAAAATTTTACCGTCGAGCGGGGTGAGGGAAGGGGGGAGAAGAGGTATGAAGATCTTCGGAAAGGGTGACTTGGCGGTGTCTCTGCGTCTAACAACCTATCTTCATCTTAAAAAATTACACCATTTCATACCGGCTCATTCATCTAAAATCCTGCTGTTTACCCAAGAAACAGGTGTCGAGTGGGTGGAGGTTCTCTAGAAAGGGCTACCACAGTCTATTTTAAGGGATAGTGATTGACCCGCCAACCGAGGACGGGAGAGGAAGGAGAATTAGCGTGCGTGAACCAGGAAGGATTTCACAAGTTTTTTTCTCGCAACACTAAAAGAACCCCCTTGAAAGAAGATTAAAGCGGCGAAATTACGATGCACACTCCTTCTTTCCCCCTGCCTTTTGTGTCTCTGACAATGTGTGCTGTGATCTGGGTGGAGCCTCCCCGAGATAAATATCTACTCGGGAACTTCCTGCTATTGGAGAGAATTTTTGCAAAATACTACCACCCTCTCCCCGCCCCTCAAAAGTTCCTCCTCTGTTACGACATCCTCCCCATTCCCAATCCCGGCTACCATCTTCCTAATCTCTGTCCCGGCTACAATCTTCGGAAATTTTCCCAGCTCTCAGCACC